CCAACTTTGACATGCATACATGCACTATACTCTCATTCTTGTATCAAACCAGTTCTCTGTTCTTGATTCGGCGAGGCTGCTGCGCGATACTGTATTGGCCACACCCACACCCACACCCACACCCACACTCACACTGATCGTTAATCACCGGACACGCCACAGACCAACAAAGCAAACAAAGAATCTCTACACAAGGTTTGCCAACAATGGCTCATCCCGGCACCACCAAAAAGGAACCCACTGCTGCTGGACACAGCATACCAGGCCTTTCAGTGCCACCCTCAGTAAAAGTATCACCGGGAGGAAAGCCAGGCGGCCCTAGAGTCATTGGGTTTGGATCTCCTATGAAACGGATCAGTACGAGTGCTACGCCGTCAGTATCCCCCAAGGCTAGTAGTCAACCACACACATCCGCATACACACCCTCACCATCGAGGCCAGCGACTGACCCGCGGCCACACACCACCACAATATCCGCTACCCGCACGGTGAAGGATGAGCCAGGTATCACACGCTTGGGTCGTAGTGGGGAGGACGACACAGACACACAGATACAGACACACAGTACACAGCCGCAGAAGAATGCACAGCCACGGGACAGCCTGCTGGACTTGTTCTCCGATAGTGACTCCGATGCCGGCAAGGGCAAGGGCAAGGGCAAAACCAAGGCCAAGGCTTCACAGAAACCCGCAGCAAAGGCACCACAGCCATCCACGGGGGGAAACGGGTTCACCTCCAGCATGCACACCTCAGACCGGCAAGCGCATGTCGCCCGTCCTGCAAGTGTCAGAGGGACTGGCAGAAAGAAGCCAGCACCGCCGGTCCTGCCGGTCCTGCCCTCAAGTAGCGAGGAGGACCAGGATGTGGACAATCTCTTCTCCAGCATCTACACGATGGGTGGGGCGAGCCCAGTACACGCCCCCAGTCGGAGCAAGGCTAAAATGAGCACACGTGCGCCGGCGAAGAGAACGGCAAAATCACCGACCAAGAAAAGGGCCTCCCGGGCGCCCGCGAGCAAGCGGAAGCGTCGAAGGACAGACAGCAGTGGGAGCGAAGAGTTCGAGGGTTACAATACGGACGACATGATAGACGACGGGTCGGACGAGAGTGTGGACTCGGTCGACAGCGAGACTCAGCGCGTGTACAGTAGCATCACCAACAAGATCCGGCAGGAACAGCAGGACAGGATAGAGGCCGACAAGACATACAGGCTGCGGCTGCTCGCTGCCAAGCTAGTTAAAAAGAACAAACCACGGGCGTTGCAGGTGGGTGAGTGGGTGTGTGTGGGACTGTGAACTATAGGCACAGCATGGGTGGGTTGCTCAGGGCGTTGCTACACGTGGTGTGCTGTGATGTGTGTATGGGTATGCGTCTGTGTACTGTGCTGATCTGTGACTGTTCGATGTGTCTTGTGTATCTGCGTTTGTGCCGTGTGGTGCGTTGAGTGGGTTGCTCAGGGGGTTGCTACACGTGGTGTGCTGTGACGTGTGTATGTGTATGCGTCTGTGTACTGTGCTGATCTGTGACTGTTCGATGTGTTTCGTGTATCTGCGCTCGTGTCATATCTAGAGTGACACCCCCCTCCCCCGTGCCGTATCTGTGGCCCTTGCTCTGCGTTGTGTGATAACTACGTCCTTTTTTTCTCCGCTGCACATTGTGTGGCTCAGGCCAATTCACAAGAGTGACTTCGTTGTTGGGCAAGTACTTTGAAGTAGTTCTCAGCCGGCGTCTCTATAGTCGTTCATCCCACACGCGCCTTCTCTGTTCCCGCACCGGTCTTTCTGACTGTACCGAACTACCTATATATGCATCAATGTAATACATACAGTTCACCTGTGGCAATTCACGATAACTTAAGTGTATCAATTCAATACCTTCCGGGCGTATCTGACCAGCCTTACTGTATGAAGAACTATTCATCTGACCAGCCTTACTGTATGAAGAACTATTCATCTGACCAGTCTTACTGTACGAGATACTATATATATATATATATATATATTTATTTATTTTTACTTATTTCTACTATTTC